TTGTTGGATGAGGCTACATAAAGGGCTCGTTTGGTGGACAAGATATGATAAGGACGGATAGGATAAGAGGATTGGATAAGTGTAGGATATGATATTGGCATGATAAGCTCATATCTTATCATGTGTTTGATGTGCACTAAATAAGCTATCTTATAGGACAATAGTATCCTGTCCACTGTTTGGTGTGAATCAGATTGCGCCAGGCTATGCTTATATAGACAAAAATACCCTCAATAATAGAATTTCATATAATTCTTTTTTATTTTATGTTTAAATTTTTTAATTTATTTATATATTAATTCCTATTTTAAATTATTTAAAAAAATTTAAATTCATTATTTTAAATAAAATATATTAAAAATACATAATTACGAATATTTTTACATATTAACAATGAAATAAATATATTAAATTGTATCTAATTAAAATTTTTTCTAAGTTTATCTCAAATTTCTTCCGTCACTTTGCCTCATAGCACTGTGATTAAGCAGTGGCATATATTGAAAGATGAAGAAAAAATATATATTTCATGCACTTATGCCCCAATTATAGGATCCATAGTATGTCCAAGTTGCTAAGACTTGGTATTCTACGCATGACAAAATGCTTATGACAAAAACCAATATAATTGTAAGCAAAGATTATCAAATTTAAAGCCCTCACGAAAGAAGGCAACAAGCCAACAGCGGTAACTGGGAGTGCAATGTTTACAGTCACTAAGGTCAAGTTCTTGAATGGATTTTCCCATGTACTTCTCCCTGTATCTTTCCTTCTCTTTAGCTCTGTCCATCTCACGCTTCTGATCTTTGTCTTTGTCCTCTAACTTTGATGATCTTGATAAATGACCATCAGTAGACAATGACTTTTTACTTATGACACCAGCAAGGAACCCATCAATATTTTCACAACGCTCCAGGAAATCATTGAATTCTTCCATAAGATCAGGTTGCTTTCCAAGTAAACCGGTTACCAAATTTTGCAAATCATTCCTTTTTATTATTCCACTACAAAAAATATGAAGGCACTTCAAGAAAGCTTGGTAGTCTTCAACTCTGTTCAACTTCTCTTAACTTTCTCACAGAAACTGAATGCTTCACTATACATGTTCTTTAAGGTATCATTGTCTTCATTAGAAGAAAAGTCTCAAGCCAACCCAAAACCTTTATCCTTCTTGACAGATTTCTTTTTCTCTGGAAAGCGCTGCAAGTTCAAATCCCTGTTGTTATCAAGATTGGGTTCTCTCTCATCCTGATCACGAATCCTCATATCCCTACTCTCACGTTTCCTCTGCTCCTTGTGCATGTTCATCATTGTTTTCTCATCATCCATCTCAGGGTGTTCAACACTCAGATCATGCTCACGATCATGAGAAGTATCTGGTAAGAATCTAGTGAACTCCTCAAGCAAATCTCGATGATCCTTAAACAGGGTAGCAACCTCACTATAAACTTCACTGATGTCCTTATGCTCTTTGCGGTACATATTCAAAATGTCCAAGAACGATTTGTAAACTGCCCATCACTTTGGAATCATTTCTTTAAATTCAACCATTTTCTTTGGATGAGCCTCATTGGTAGTCAGTTTTAGGGAAGTAGTTTCTCCCCCACCAACACTACCTCCTCCTCCACCTCCACCTCCTCCTCCTCCTCCAGGGACTTGGGTTTGGCCATAAGAATCACCACGTGAGAAACTAAAAGGGCGTTTGAATTGAGAGCCAGAACCAGCATAAATGCCATCCCTTACTCTCTTTATCTTTTATCGGTTCTCCAGATTTTCCTAGGAAAATTTGCTGGAAAACAAGTCGAGTAGATCTCTGAGGGACAAGAGAAAAAAAAAAGAGTGAAGGGTTTGATCGGACAGAACAAGTAAGGTAAACAAGGAAAACAAAAAATAGGTTTCTTCTATCTATGTCTCTCTGTTACGTTGTTTAGGGTTTAGGAGAGAGAAAAACAAAAACGAAGAATTGAGACAAAAAGAGTGAAAATAAGATTTGCAGAGAGAGAGAAAGAGAATTTTGAGATGGAAATAGAGGAAGAGAATCGGTGGAACCAATTCAATCCAAAAGTTTAAACTGTTGGGTAAGGCTACATTAAGGGCTCGTTTGGTGGACAAGATAGGATAAGGACGTATAAGATAAGAGGATTATATAAGTGTAGGATATGATATGGGCATGATAAGCTCATACCCTATCCTGTGTTTGATGTGCACTAGATAAGCTATCTGATAGGACAATAGTTTCCTATCCGCTGTTTGGTGTGAATCAGATTGCTCCAGGATATGCTTAAATAGAAAAAAATACCCTCAATAATCGATTTTAATATAATTCTTTTTTATTTTATGTTTAAATTTTTTAATTTATTTATATATTAATTCCTATTTTAAATTATTTAAAAAAATTTAAATTCATTATTTTAAATAAAATGTATCAAAAATACATAATACGAATATTTTTACACATTAACTATGAAATAAATATATTAAATTGTATCTAATTACAAATTTTTCTAAGTTTATCTCAAATTTCATCCGTCATTTTGCCTCATAACACTGTGATTAAGCAGTGGCATATATTGAAAGAGGAAGAGAAATATATATTCCATGCACTTATGCCCCAATTATAGGATCCATAGTATGTCCAAGTTGCTAATACTTGGTATTCTACGCATGACAAAATGCTTAAGAGAAAAGCCAACTAAATTGTAAGCAAAGATTATGAAAGTTAAAGCACTCGCTGAAAAAAACAACAAGCCAACAACGGTAACTGGGATTGCAAATTTTACAGTCACTAAGGTCAAGTTCTTGAATGGATTTTCCCATGTACTTCTCCCTGTATCTTTCCTTCTCTTTAGCTCCATCCATCTCACGCTTCTGCTCTTTGTCTTTGTCCTCCAACTTTTGTGATCTTGATGAATGACCATCAGTAGACAATGACTTTTTACTCATGACACCAGCAAGGAACCCATCAATATTTTCTCAAAGCTCCAGGAAATCATTGAATTCCTCCATAAGATCAGGATGCTTTCCAAGTAAATCGGTTACCAAAATTTGCAAATCATTCCTTTTTATTATTCCACTGCTGAAAATATGAAGGCACTTCAAGAAAGCTTGGTAGTCATCAGCACTGTTCAACTTCTCCTTAACTTTCTCACAGAAACTGAATGCTTGACTATACATGTTCTTTAAGGTATCCTTGTCTTCATTAGAAGAAAAGTCTGAAGCCAACCCAAAACCTTCATTCTTCTTGACAGATTTCTTTTTCTCAAGAAAGCGCTGCAAGTTCAAATCCCTGTTATTAGCAAGATCAGGTTCTCTCTCATCTTGATCACGAATCCTCATATCCTTACTCTGACGTTTCCTCTGCTTCTTGTGCATGTTCATCATTGTTTTGTCATCATCCATCTCAGGGTGTTCAACACTCAGATCATGCTCACGATCATGAGAAGTATCTGGTAAGAATCTAGTGAACTCCTCAAGCAAATCTCGATGATCCTTAAACAGGGTAGCAACCTCACCATAAACTTCACCAATGTCATTTTGCTCTTTGTTGTACATATTCAAAATGTCCAAGAACGATTTGTAAACATGCTCATCACTTTGGAATCGTTTCTTTATCTTGTTCACAAAACTAATAGCTTCTTCAAATTCAACTGTTTTCTTTGGAGGAGCCTCATCCTCGTCAAGGTTTATCTCATATCCCTTTGGCAGGAAAGTGTTAAATCCAAAAATCAAATTGTTGTGCCCTTTGAATAGCTCCTTCACCCATGCTATGACACCAGCCGTGTTAGTTCTTTGCGCCTTGAAATCTTTCATGACCTCAAGGAACATGTCATATTTTTCTCTTTTGTCCTGAAACATGTCTATCCTTTCCTTCAAATAGGATAAGGCATCATTGGTAGTCAGTTTTAGGGAAGTAGTTTCTCCCCCACCAACACTACCTCCTCCTCCTCCACCTCCACCTCCTCCACCTCCTCCAGGGACTTGGGTTTGGCCATAAGAATCACCACGTGAGGAACTAAATGGGCGTTTGAATTGAGAGCCAGAACCAGGATAAATGCCATCCCTTACTCTCTTTATCTTTTATCGGTTCTCCAGATTTTCCTAGGAAAATTTGCTGGAAAACAAGTCGAGTAGATCTCTGAGGGACAAGAGAAAAAAAAAGAGTGAAGGGTTTGATCGGACAGAACAACAAGTAAGGTAAACTAGGAAAACAAAAAATAGGTTTCTTCTATCTATGTCTCTCTGTTACGTTGTTTAGGGTTTAGGAGAGAGAAAAACAAAAACGAAGAATTGAGACAAAAAGAGTGAAAACAAGATTTGTAGAGAGAGAGAAAGAGAATTTTGAGATGAAAATAGAGGAAGAGAATCGGTGGAACCAATTCAACCCAAAAGTTTAAACTGTTGGGTAAGGCTACACTAAAGGCTCGTTTGGTGGACAAGATAGGATAAGGACGTATAGGATAAGAGGATTGGATAAGTGTAGGATATGATATGGGCATGATAAGCTGATATCCTATCATGTGTTTGATGTGCACTCGATAAGCTATCTGATAGGACAATAGTTTCCCATCCGCTGTTTGGTGTGAATCAGATTGCTCCGGGATATGCTTAAATAGACAAAAATACCCTCAATAATAGATTTTCATATAATTCTTTTTTATTTTATGTTTAAATTTTTTAATTTATTTATATATTAATTCCTATTTTAAATTATTTAAAAGAATTTAAATTCATTATTTTAAATAAAATATATTAAAAATACATAATACTTATATTTTTACACATTAAGTATGAAATAAATATATTAAATTGTATCTAATTACAAATTTTTCTAAGTTTATCTCAAATTTCTTCCGTCATTTTGCCTCATAACACTGTGATTAAGCAGTGGCATATATTGAAAGAGGAAGAAAAATATATATTCCATGCACTTATGCCCCAATTATAGGATCCATAGTATGTCAGAGGTTCTAATACTTGGTATTCTACGCATGAAAAAATGCTTATGACAAAAGCCAACTAAATTCTAAGCAAAGATTATCAAAGTTAAAGCACTCGCTGAAAAAGGCAACAAGCCAACAACGGTAACTGGGAGTGCAACTTTTACAGTCACTAAGGTCAAGTTCTTGAATGGATTCTCCCATGTACTTCTCCTTGTATCTTTCCTTCTCTTTATCTCCATCCATCTCACGCTTCATCTCTTTGTCTTTGTCCTCCAACTTTGATGATCTTGATGAATGACCATCAGAAGACAATGACTTTTTACTCATGACACCAGCAAAGAACCCATCAATATTTTCACAACGCTCCAGGAAATCATTGAATTCCTCCATAAGATCAGGATGCTTTCCAAGTAAATCGGTTACAAAATTTTGCAAATCATTCCTTTTTATTATTCCACTGCTGAAAATATGAAGGCACTTCAAGAAAGCTTGGTAGTCATCAGCACTGTTCAACTTCTCCTTAACTTTCTCACAGAAACTGAATGCTTGACTATACATGTTCTTTAAGGTATCCTTGTCTTCATTAGAAGAAAAGTCTGAAGCCAACCCAAAACCTTCATTCTTCTTGACCGATTTCTTTTTCTCAGGAAAGTGCTGCAAGTTCAAATCCCTGCTGTTAGCAAGATCAGGTTCTCTGTCATCCTGATCACGAATCCTCCTATACTTACTCTCACGTTTCCTCTGCTCCTTGTGCATGTTCATCATTGTTTTGTCACCATCCATCTCAGGGTGTTCAACACTCAGATCACGCTCACGATCATGAGAAGTATCTGGTAAGAATATAGTGAACTCCTCAAGCAAATCTCGATGATCCTTAAACAGGGTAGCAACCTCACTATAAACTTCACCGATGTCCTTATGCTCTTTGTTGTACATATTCAAAATGTCCAAGAACGATTTGTAAACATGCTCATCACTTTGGAATCGTTTCTTTATCTTGTTCACAAAACTAATAGCTTCTTCAAATTCAACTGTTTTCTTTGGAGGAGCCTCATCCTCGACAAGGTTTATCTCATATCCCTTTGGCAGGAAAGTGTTAAATCCAAAAATGAAATTGTTGTGCCTTTTGAATAGCTCCTTCACCCATGCTATGACACCAGCCGTGTTAGTCCTTTGAGCCTTGAAATCTTTCATGACCTCAAGGAACATGTCATATTTTTCTCTTTTTTCCTGAAACATGTCTATCCCTTCCTTCAAATAGGATAAGGCATCATTGGTAGTCAGTTTTAGGGAAGTAGTTTCTCCCCCACCAACACTACCTCTTCCTCCTCCTCCTCTAGGGACTTGGGTTTGGCCATAAGAATCACCACGTGAGGAACTAAAGGGGCGTTTGAATTGAGAGCCAGAACCAGCATAAATGCCATCCCTTCCTCTCTTTATCTTTTATCGGTTCTCCAGATTTTCCTAGGAAAATTTGCTGGAAAACAAGTCGAGCAGATCTCTGAGGGACAAGAGAAAAAAAAAAGAGTGAAGGGTTTGATCGGACAGAACAACAAGTAAGGTAAACAAGGAAAACAAAAAATAGGTTTCTTTTGTCTATGTATCTCTCTTACATTGTTTAGGGTTTAGGAGAGAGAAAAACAAAAACGAGGAATTGAGACAAAAAGAGTGAAAACAAGATTTGCTGAGTGAGAGAAAGAGAATTTTGAGATGGAAACAGAGGAAGATAATCGGTGGAACCAATTCAACCCAAAAGTTTAAACTGTTGGATGAGGCTACATAAAGGGCTCGTTTGGTGGACAAGATAGGATAAGGACGGATAAGATAAGAGGATTGGATAAGTGTAGGATATCATATGGGTATGATAAGCTCATATCTTATTCTGAGTTTGATGTGCACTAGATAAACTATCTAATAGGACAATAGTATCCTATCCGCTGTTTGGTGTGAATCAGATTGCGTCGGGATATACTTAAATAGACAAAAATACCCTCAATAATAGATTTTCATATAATTCTTTTTTTTTATGTTTAAACTTTTTAATTTACTTATATATTAATTCCTATTTTAAATTATTTAAAAAAATTTAAATTCATTATTTTAAATAAAATATATTAAAAATAAATAATTACGAATATTTTTACACATTAACTATGAAATGAATATATTAAATATTATCTAATTACAAATTTTTCTAAGTTTATCTCAAATTTCTTCCGTCATTTTGCCTCATAGCACTGTGATTAAGCAGTGGCATATATTGAAAGAGGAAGAAAAATATATATTCCATGCACTTATGCCCCAATTATAGGATCCATAGTATGTCAGAGTTGCTAATACTTGGTATCTACGCATGACAAAATGCTTATGACAAAAGCCAACTAAATTGTAGGCAAAGATTATCAAAGTTAAAGCCCTCACTGAAGAAGGCAACAAGCCAATAGCGGTAACTGGGAGTGCAACGTTTACAGTCACTAAGGTCAATTTCTTGAATGGATTTTCCCATGTACTTCTCCAAGTATCTTTCCTTCTCTTTAGCTCCATCCATCTCACGCTTCTGCTCTTTGTCTTTGTCCTCCAACTTTGATGATCTTGATAAATGACCATCAGTAGACAATGAATTTTTACTCATGACACCAACAAGGAACCCATCAATATTTTCATAATGCTCCAGGAAATCATTGAATTCCTCCATAAGATCAGGATGCTTTCCAAGTCAATCGGTTACCAAATTTTGCAATTCATTCCTTTTTATTATTCCACTGCTGAAAATATGAAGGCACTTCAAGAAAGCTTGGTAGTCACCAGCACTGTTCAACTTCTCCTTAACTTTCTCACAGGAACTGAATGCTTGACTCTACATGTTCTTTATTTTATCATTGTCTTCATCAGAAGAAAAGTCTGAAGCCTACCCAAAACCTTCATCCTTCTTGACAGATTTCTTTTTCTCAGGAAAGCGCTGCAAGTTCAAATCCCTGTTGTTATCAAGATCAGGTTCTCTCTCAACCTGATCACGAATCCTTATATCCTTACTCTCACGTTTACTCTGCTCCTTGTGCATGTTCATCTTTTTTTGTCATCATCCACCTCAGGGTATTCAACACTCAGATCACACTCACGATAATGAGAAGTATCTGGTAAGAATCTAGTGAACTCCTCAAGCAAATCTCGATGATCCTCAAACAGGGTAGCAACCTCACTATAAACTTCACTGATGTCCTTATGCTCTTTGCGATACATTTTCAAAATGTCCAAGAACGATTTATAAACACGCTCATCACTTTGGAATCGTTTCTTTATCTTGTTCACAAAACTAATAGCTTCTTCAAATTCAACCGTTTTCTTTGGAAGAGCCTCATCCTCGTCAAGGGTTATCTCATTTCCCTTTGGCAGGAAAGTGTTAAATCCAAAAATCAAATTGTTGTGCCCTTTGAATAGCTCATTCACCCTTACTATGATACCAGTTGTGTCAGTCCTTTGAGCCTTGAAATCTTTCATGACCTCAAGGAAAATGTCGTATTTTTCGCTTTTGTCCTAAAACATGTCTTTCACTTCCTTCTAATAGGATAAGGCAACAATGGTAGTCTGTTTCTGGGAAGTAGTTGCTCCCCCACCAACACTACCTCTTCCTCCTCTTCCCCTTCCTCCTCCCCTCCTCCAGGGACTTGGTTTTGGCCATAGGAATCACCACGTGAGGAACTAAAGGGGCGTTTGAATTGAGAGCGAGAACTAGCATACATGTCATCCCTTACTCTCTTTATCTTTTATCGGTTCTCCAGATTTTCCTAGGAAAATTTGCTAGAAAACAAGTCGAGTAGATCTCTGAGGGACAAGAGAAAATAAAGACAAAAAAAGAGTGAAGGGTTTGATCGGACAGAACAATAAGTAAGGTAAACAAGGAAAACAAAAAATAGGTTTCTTCTTTCTATGTCTCTCTCTTACGTTGTTTAGAGTTTAGGGTTTAGGGTTTAGGAGAGAAAAAAACAAAAATGAGGAATTGAGACAAAAAGAGTGAAAACAAGATTTGCAGAGGGAGAGAAAGAGAATTTTGGGATGGAAACAGAGGAAGATAATCGGTGGAACCAATTCAACCCAAAAGTTTAAACTGTTGGGTGAGTCTACATTAAGGGCTCGTTTGGTTGACATGATGGGATAAGGACGTATAGGATAAGAGAATTGGATAAGTGTAGGATATGATATGGCCATGATAAGCTCATATCTTATCTTGTGTTTGATGTGCACTAGATAAGCTATCTGATAGGACAATAGTATCATATCTGTTGTTTGGTGTGAATCAGATTGCGCCGGGATATGCTTAAATAGACAAAAATACTCTCAATAATAGATTTTCATATAATTCTTTTTTATTTTATGTTTAAATTTTTTAATTTATTTATATATTACTTCCTGTTTTAAATTATTTAAAAAAAATTAAATTCATTATTTTAAATAAAATATGTTAAAAATACAATTATGAATATTTTTACACATTAACTTTGAAATGAATATATTAAATTGTATCTAATTACAAATTTTTCTAAGTTTATCTCAAATTTCTTCCATCATTTTGCCTCATAGCACTGTGATTAAGCAGTGGCATATATTGAAAGAGGAAGAAAAAATATATATTCCATGCACTTATGCCCCAATTATAGGATCCATAGTATGTCCAAGTTGCTAATACTTGATATTCTACGCATGACAAAATGCTTATGACAAAAGCCAACTAAATTGTCAGAAAAGATTATCAAAGTTATAGCCCTCACTGAAGAAGGCAACAAGCCAACAGTGGTAACTAGGAGTGCAACGTTTACAGTCACTAAGGTCAAGTTTCTTGAATGGATTTTCCCATTTACTTCTCCATGTATCTTTTCTTTTCTTTAGCTCCATTCATCTTTTAACATTTCTATACGTCCAAGGATTCATTTTTATGCTTAATTAGACCAGTACACATGCTAGTTACTTAATCATCTCATTAACATGCCAAGACTCCACTTTTATTTAAGAAACTCATGATCAAAGGTTCAAGAACATACCCCAAGCTCTAAAACAGAAGTAAATGGTGCTCTTAGAGCTCTCAAGTCAGCTACAATGGTTCTGACTTCAAGGGTTACGAAAATAGCTACCAAGCTTGGCCCTTTACCAACAAATGTAGCTTCTTGAAGAACCACAACCCAAGAAAATTCTCTCACTCCACCCAAACAGTGAACTTAGACCTTCCTCCTCACACACAGAGGTTACAAACTCAGAAATGGTGACTCTTTCCCCCTCACAATGCTAGTTCACACAAGGCCAAGGTATTTTGGTGAAGATTGCAAGAAGAAAGGTGACCACTTGGCTCACAAGAAGAAGAGAGAAGGGTGGTGGCAAGTGAAGACACTCAGCTGCTGAACCAAGTCACGTAGGAGGCTGAAGATCAGCCTAGGGTTGTGTGCAACCCTCTATTTATAGCCTTATTAAGTTTTAAGCACATTGTATTAACACTAATAGTTATGCTTATTATTTTAATCCCAAACTTTGGATTTTGAACCTAGCCATTTTTCTAAGATTTGTCATATTTTTATTTTATTTTTCACAGCACTTTGCCGGTACGCGCTTTTACGTAGCCGATATCAGTCCTGATACCAGTTCTCGTTATTTTGACTCCAAACTTGTTTTACTAGTCCTATATATTATTCTAGTATATATACATACTTTTCATAATTTTTCGGAATACTTCATCGGCACACACTTATACCGTGAGGCAGAACCGGTATCTGCACTTTTCGTCTGAAAAGCGACTTTCAGCATTATTAATCACTTACTATAATTATTTAAGCCTTCTCATAATAATTAGGGTCCATTATGGAATTATTTCCTAAATTAACATTTTATTAATTTAAATTCCTAAATTAACGGTGCAGGTTCTTACATTCACCCCACCTTTTAGGATTTTGTTCACAAAATCAGAGACATACCGTAAACTCGAGGTACTACCAGAGAAGTTCGTCCTCTCGCTCCCAAGTACACTCCTCATGAGTTCTTCCTGTCCACTACACTTTGACTATAGGAATGATCTTGCTCCTATGCTTCTTCTCGCCACGATCGAGAATCTTGAGTGGTCCGACGGTAGTCTTTAAGTTCTCCCGAACTTCTACATCATCAGGTTGCACCACGTGCGATGGGTTCGCAATATACTTTCGAAGTTGAGACACATGAAACACGTCGTGGATGTTGGCCAAGTTCGGAGACAAGGCAAGCCGGTAGGCAACAGCCCTACCCTACCAAGGATCTGGTATGGCCCTGAAAATCTCGGGCTAAGCTTCCTCACTTCGAGAGCCCGACCAACACCAGTGACAGGTGAAAATCTCACAAACACGTGCTCACCCTCACTGAACTTCAGTGGTCGATGCTTGACATCGTAATAACTCTTCTGGCGATTCTGCGCATGCTTCAGCTTTTCTCTGATCATCTGGATCTGCTGGGTGGTATCTTGGACAAAGTCCAAGTCAAACAACTCCTTATCTCCAACCTCGAACCAACAGGTAGGAGTTCGACACCTCATACCATACAATGCCTCGTAGGGTGCCATGCCCAGGCTAGCATGGAAAATGTTGTTGTATGAAAACTCAACCAATAGCATGAGGGTGATAGGTCCGCTCAGTCTGTCCATCAGTCTGAGGGTTATAGGTTGTACTCAATCTCAACTGAATACCAAAACTCCCTACAGCGCCTCCCAGAACCGAGATGTGAACTTCAGGTCCCTATCACTGATGATACTCTTGGGAACCCCGTGAAGCCTCACGATCTCGCGAACATACAGTCTGGCTAACTGCTCAGTAGTGAAGCTCACCTTTACCGGTAGAAGTGGGCAGACTTAGTCAATCTATCCACAATGACCCAGATAGAGTCAGAACCAGCCTGAGTCCTAGGCAATCCCACTACGAAGTCCATGGAAATGTTATCCCACTTCCATTGCGGAATCTCAAGAGGTTGAAGCTTACCAGATGGTTTCTAGTGTTCATTCTTCACCTTCTAGCATATCAAACACTTGGACACAAAAACAGTTATATCTTTATATATATATATATATATATATATATATATATATATAAGGTGGGGTAGGATCCTTTGACACCAGTGTCAAAAAATTTGACACCTCATCTGAGAGCCCTTGATCTTTTTTGATCTAACGGCTCTCAGATGAGGTGTGTATGTGTGTGTATATACACACACACCTCATCTGAGAGTCGTTAGATCAAAAAAGATCAATGACTCTGATTTATAAGCATGTGACACCATTGATCTTTTTTGATCTAATGACTCTCAGATGATGTGTCAAATTTCAAACTGTTATCAAAGGATCCTACCTCATATATATATGACTTTAATGTTTCTACAGTGAATGTAGATAAATATCTACATTCGCTCCCAAAACGACGTTGTTTTGATTGAAAAATTTAAAATTATAATAAAAAGACTATTGTAATCCTGAAATAAATTATAATTACAAAAATACTTTGATTTTCGCCTCAAAACGACGTCGTTTTTGGCTCAATGTAGATAAGTTATCTACATTGACTGTAGAAAAAGTGAACCCTATATATATGTGGGGGGGTTTATATTTCTGCAGCTGCTGTACGTGCATCAATCAAATACTTGCCATATATATACTTGAAAGTATTAAATGCAGGGAATCATAACCATACAAAGGATGAAAGCATCAAATGTGGGGAATAATAACCATACATCTATCGTTGCTGTACGTAAAACGGCTGCAGAAATGATTTTATATATAGAGAATGATTTCCATTATTTATTGAGAAATTATTTTCTCATATTACATGAGAAAAATTATTTAATATAATAGAGATACAGAAAAATATTTCTGGAAAAATTAAAAAATTATAATTATAAAGACTAATAACCCTGAAATAAATTAAAATTAATAAAACACTATAATTTTTGCTCCAAAACAATGTCGTATTGGACTTTATGCAGATAACTTATCTGTATTAACTGCAGAAAAAACGAACACAAATGAGACTTGAGATAAAAAAAGAGAGAAAAATAGAGATGAAAGTTTGTGTATAGAAACTTTATTTCTACGATGGAAAACGTAAAATGAGAGAAATAAAACTCTTATTTATTTATTTTATCTTTGTCGGGTAAGAGATGAAGAATTTGGGCTTCTAGATAGAGTAAATACTCTTTTTGGTCCCTAACAAAAAATACGATCCCCAATTTAGTCCCTTACAAAAATAAATTAGTCAGTTAGTTCCTAACAAATTCAAAGTGGATCCATTTAGTTGAAATCGTGGTCCCTCACAAATTCAAAAAATACCCGTATTAGTCCCTCAAAAGGATTAAAATGGGTTCACTTTGAATTTGTTAGAGACTAACTGACTAGTTTATTTTTGTAAGAGACTAAAATGAGGATTGTATTTTTTTATCAGGGACAAAAAAAAGATATTTAATCTTTGCCCTGTATTTATTTTATCTTTGGCGGGTAAGAGATGAAGAATTTGGGCTTTTAGATATGTTTTGTTGTTGGGTTACTTCTCATTCCTTGTTTAGCACTTCTGTCATTACCGCTTTTACTTGTCACTCTCCTTTCTCAATTCCCGCTAACCGGAAAATAAGCTACATGGACGCCGGCGGCTTAGATTCCGATGGCCGGAAATACAAGAGCGCCGACGAGATGTGGAGGGAACAGGCGGGTGACCCTAACAAGAAGACCGAGTGGTACCATCATGGCGTCACCTACTGGGAGGTACCTTTCTCTCTTATCCTCCCTAACCAGAATTGGATTCGCTTTATCTGATTGTTTTCCTTAATGGGTTTCTGTTATTGGAAGCTCATGAATCGTCGTTGAATTAAAAAAAAAATTGAAAAATATAATAATTGGATGGTGTGTGCTTGTAGTGACAGGTTTTTTTTTTTTTTTTTCTTCTGGGTGATGATGGAATTAATAAATTGTTACAAAGTTTGTTTTTTTAATTGTTTGTGAGAGAAGGGTGTTAAGGCAACTGCGGATGGGGTATTGGGAGGGTATGCAAATGTGGATGAACTTGATATAAGTTGCAGTGAGGATTTCTTGAAGATTCTCTTATCTGAACGTTTTGAAGCTGATGTCAGAAGCCAACCACTTGTTGCTCTTGGTACTCACTCACTCTTTGCTTCTTTGTTCCCCTAACCCCACCTTGGAGCTTATTTATCAGAAACTATGTGGTTATTGATGATATTGGTTCGTATCTTTTCTAATCAAATGATATTTTAGCCGGGACTTCATTTGAAATTTTTTTATTTTTTTTTTCTTGGGAATGATGGCTATTGTGTTTTAGTTTATTTTTGAGTGTTTTGGGGAAAGATGACATTTTGGTATCTGCTTTCATTGAATGTTATACACAGCCTGCTTTAAATATTGATTTCTTATCAGTGGAATTTCTAAATCAGCAAACTCTTGAATTCCAGATTGTGGTTCTGGCATTGGCAGAGTCACCAAAAATCTGTTGATACGATACTTCAATGAGGTTTGTCAGATTTACCTTTCATATATTTTCTTTTTGAGTCACTCTGCTGGCTAGGCAACTCTTCAAGCATCTGTTGTTCTTTTATAGTTCATCAATTGATGCTTATTTCGAGTAATTGTTATTGGTGCTACAATTCAAACAATAAGTCAGTAGAGCATATATTGTTTCAATGTTTAGAATGCCAAGAATTTTTTGTCACTTCTCTTGTCTGGGATTATGTTTATATTTGGAAGGTAACTTAGTATTTGCATGATTGAGAGAATATTGAGAAGGAGAGACAACAAACTAAGTGGAGAAGTAATGGGATCATAATGATGTTCCTTTCTATTGACAATGGTGTTAAAGAGAGATGTAATGAACCTTCTCTCGATCAACTACTGGGGAATTCTCAAGCTATTTATTTTCAAAACCATTTTTGTGAGAAGCCGCCATTGCTATATATTTAAATAGTACTGGTAGGCATAAGCCTTCCCAGCTTTAGTTTTATGCAATCCAGGCTTAGCAGAGCCTGGGATGGATATCAAGGAATTATCCTAATCAAAAGGGTAGGGAAGAAAAGAAGCAGGGATTGTGATATAGCAAGGAATCTAAAACTAGCAATGATAGTTTTTGACACGACCTGAATTGCGCTGGGTTTGGTTGAGCTTAATAAGCTTATATGGGTTTGTGTCGTCATAATTGTGGATAACCTAACTTATAAACAGGTCATGTTAGCCTGTTAGGTCAAGCCATATAATTATTCAGGCTGTGTTCAGGTTTTGAGCATTTTAGTGCAATGGCCTTGTCTCTAATAATGAAGAGATACTTAACTAATTGAATTTAAACATGTTCTATTTAAATTCCAATCTAGTATCACAGTGGTGTGTTTTAAGTCCTAGCTTATCCTAACCACTAGACGGATTAAACATTTAAGTTAAGTTATCCATTATATAACATGAAATATCATCTTTTTTTGGTTCATTGTTTCTGATATTGGTGGCGTTACCAAATGTGAATGTCTGCATCGCTTTATTTCTTCTCTTCATCCTCTCTTCTATATATATATATTTCTTTTAAGTTAATTAGTCGTCCTTTATTTTCTCTGGTTTGTTGTAAAATTCAGGTTGATCTTCTTGAGCCAGTATCACATTTCTTAGAGACTGCACGTGAAACTTTGGCTCCTGGACATTATACAAATTCGGATATGCACAAAGCAGTTAATTTTTATTGTGTGCCTCTTCAGGTTTGTGTACTTCACCTCCACGTAAATGATGGTATCTATTTCTTAAGGTGTTTGGTTTAATTACTCAACTTAATCAAGTTCTGATAATTATATCAACTCGCATCTAGCATTAGGTCAAGTGGTTGTTTGATCCTTGTTAATCATGTTTACAGAACCCTAGATGGTTTTCTAGTAGAGAATTCAAGGGTAGGTGTGTATTTCACCTCCACGTAAATGATGGCATCTTTCTTTCATTAGATTAGATGATTGAGATGATATAGGATGTGAATACTTAATAGAGTGAGGAATTCACATTAGAACATGTTGCATGCCTGCCTTATTTTCCCCAAACAGTATAGTAGATAAGAATTAGGTTGGTCATTGTATGGAATGTTATTTAAACGTCAACAACAACTACAACTTTTTTGAGAGAGAGATTACCCTTTTCTGATTGGATGTACAGTAGGACCCTTTATACATCTCTTATACAGATTGAATTACACGAAAACAGCCTATAGACCTCAGTACTCTTAGACACTACAGCTATATTACGATAAATGAATAAAACAAATAAAACAACAGCTAATATGTACAAAATTCCAATAAATAGAATAGCTGGTTGTTTGATATTTGACTGGTGATTTTTTGGCTTTGTTATTCTGTTGGTTTCTCTCTACTTATCTTGCTTTTTTTTAAATAAAAGAATAAATTCATTTAGACAAATAGAAGATGTTACAAAGAATTGTGAGGATAGGAAATCCTCCTTACAAAATATAAAAGGTACGAACAAAGAGAACCAAAAAGAAAAACATCAATGAAGCAAAGCTATCCAATCTCTCAACATTTTTGTAGGAGAAAATAAACCCCTGTCAAAAAACCATGGGCTTTATAGTTGTGCCAAGTGGAAGCCAAATACATCACATCCCAAAGGAGTTGCTCATCCAAAGGAATATCCTTAAAGATGCAAGAATAACACTCCAACGTAATACACCAAAGAGTGGCATAGATTGCACACTGCCATAAGAATTTGGCATTCTGGTGTTGTTAAGCTTAGCATCATGTAGAGTTAGTGCTTTCAAACTTGAAGTAATTCACAGTTCCCAAAATTTTTGGAATTCTTGATATCTTTATTTGAGCTTTGATCTTATGATAATTTTTTTATTACCATTTTTCGCTTGAATAATAGGAAGACAAGCTTTTCTTAATATTCAGAAGAAGTTACTTCAATAGATCAGGCCTTTAAATGGACCTATATATTATGGATAAGTTTTTCAACAACTCAGTTATTTCTTTCCATATTCTGGCTGTTATGGGTTACACAGGCAACAAATGGTGTATGTTTGACTTTTATGAACTCACATTTAACAAGTAAATAACTATTTGGGATCCGGCATTTATCGCTGTAGAGATGTAAGCTTTGGGCATTGAAGCAGCTACATATTAGTTTAAAATACTGTTAGAGACTTCTGCAATAATAATGCAAATTCAATGGTTGCTCCCTCTCCCTACTCCCTCGTCTGCCTCCGCTCACAAAATAAATTAGTAAATATCTATTTTGTGGCCATTGGCACATTTGATGGTCTTGAGTAAAACATTTTAGTTAATGTGGTATCTCTGGCACTTTTGATACTTGTCTGGGCTTTAATATTTTTAGCATCACTTTTGGTCTATTCTTCAGTAATGTTATTGAGCACCTCTTGCTTTCCTTGTTTTAGGATTTTACACCAGATACTGGAAGATATGATGTAATATGGATCCAATGGTGTATTGGTCATCTCACAGATGACGATTTTGTTTCATTTTTCAAGAGAGCAAAGGTAAGTTGTCCTTTCTTTGATTAATATTTATGACTCTGCAGATCAAGGTATTTAAGACGTGGCGAACCGAAGCAGTGGTAAAGCTGTTTTTTCATGATTGAAAGGTTATGGGTTCGAATCCAGGAAGTAGTCTCTTTGCAATTATGAAAAGATAAGGCTGCGTACAAGGATTGTCTCCACTCCACACTCACTAGTTGGGTTTAACGGGGAGTGGTTTATTTTATTTTATTTTATTTTGTCTTTACTCTGATGGTGTTGACATATACATTACTATAGGTTGGCCTCAAACCAGGTGGATTGTTTGTCCTCAAAGAGAATATTGCCAGATCTGGTACTTTACTCTTTGTTGCATTTCTGTCTTTCCAGTCATTGTGATGATGCTTCTTTCATATTTATGTATAATATATTGATTGAAGATGTCGATGTACAATAATATTGCCGTATGATATCTATCGACAAATGTTCTTTTTTTTTTTTTTTTTGGTATGGATCGACAAATGTTCTTTAATATATATTGAAACAGATAACGTGTATATTCAATACTATGCATATGCTATTTTAAAAATCTTTTTATGTTGAATTATTGAAATATTTTTTAGTTAAATTGTATATATTATACTTGTAGGTGGCTGATAAAAAGGAACTAAAGTTTGACCGTACAAAATAAAAATTATAAGAACTTTTAGATGATTCAAGTGCAAGAGATTTTCAGCTGTAAAAAGTGAAAGATAAAATGTTCATTAACAATGACGTAAGCGATAAAGTCAAAAGGATAGTATTGAGAGTTGAATTTATAATTCACTCCACTCATTATTTATCATTTTGGCTTCAAAGGAATGGAGAGGAGAGATATTCTTTTACCTCTGTCTCCATTTCATTACAAATCACTCCATTATGAACACTATTCCATCCTCTTGTAAACTCCCAAACATAGCCTTATTAAATGATGTCATTAACTTAATTTTCTTTATTGTCATCAGTTAATTTATCTGTGCATCTTTCAGTTTAAGTGGAGGTTTACTTTATGGTTTTGGATATTTGTTTTCATGGCATGCAGGATTTGTGCTTGATAATGAAGACCGAAGCATTACAAGATCTGATTTATACTTCAAAGAACTCTTTTCTCGCTGTGGATTGCATGTTTACAAGTTGAAGGTAAATCACTTTTTTTTCATATGGAAGACAGCTAGATGTGCCTGCGAATGTTCAACCGGTCCCATTCTAAATTCTAGTATTCTTTATGATATCTCTTTACATTCTAATTTTCTTTATCATTAGAAATAAACTAGAACACGCTTACTGAGATATTATTTTTAATTTAAATAGGTGATGGTCTACTTTTGACTTTTGACTAGTATAATCAACAGCCTTTTGAAATATTATTTTAAATTTAAATTTTTTATTACATGCATTTGCGAGCCTAAATAATAGTAAAGTTATTCCTTTATGATTAGAACAATAAAAGATCCTTTTTGCATGTTATCCAAAAAAAAAAAAAAATAACTTCTTTGCAATTATATAAAGGTAAGGTTACGAATATGGATTGTCCTTATTCCACCCTCGTTAATTTGGATTTAATGGAGAATGATTTTATTATGTCTTCCCTATCCATTTAATAGTCTTATCTTTGCATATTTAAAACAAAAAAAAATGTTCAAAATCGCGTAACTAGGAGCAGGTTTTGCCTCTTATTGTGTGTGCTTATGTTATTGTTCTACTTTAAAAAGGATTTCCTTTTACCAAAAAGAAAAAAGAAAAAAAAAGATTTCCACGTGCTGATGTCCTTGGTTACATACTTCACCACCACAGGATGCCACGTCTGATGTCGTGTCAATGTGTGTACTTTATTTTTCTTGGATAAGTATTTGTGAGAACAATATATCATGATGTTATATTTATAAATTTTTTATTTATAAATATTTACAAATTTGTCTATATATTCCTGGGAATACAAAAATAGAAGAATGTATTGTAAATAAAAAATTTATAAATATAACATGTCTCATATATTATATATGATTGGTCCCTATCTGCTTTAAACCAATCCTTTGGTTTTTTATGCTGCTTTTGTTTTAAATTAGGATCAGAAAGGGTTCCCTGAGGAATTGTTTGCTGTGAAGATATATGCATTGACCACCGATGCTCCAAAGAAGGTTCACCGCACTAGATCTAAAACACAAGCTAATAGACCTAGAATCATCAAATGATCAGTTTGTCTTGTAGTATTGAATATTCATCGGAAACCCTTCTTTTTTCTTTTTTTCGTATGGGAGATCCATGTTTTATTGTAATCTTATTGTAGGTATTAATTTGTTAATGTAAGTCATCTTTTCATTAAGCCGTTCATCGGCTTGTTTGTGAAATGCAATCTTTGTTATCTCTAATATCGAGCTCCGTAAATTTATCGAAAACGTGAATTTTGATTTGTGTTATTATATATTTGAGTTTATGATAAATCTTATTCGTGTAACATTTCAACTTCGAAAGATAATTCATATTTTATAAAATTTATGAGTTAGAAATTATAGTGAACAATTTGTGTCATCACAGGAAACAAGTGAAGAGATTTTTTAAAAGGTTAACATAACACGAACTTAGAAGCAACAATTCGGTTGATACATGATGAGATGGTATAATTTAAATTTAACATGAACACACGGATTTAACACAGATTATTTCTCCTTTTAAAAGATGTAGATTTTGTCCCTTTAGCAATTTATAATTATATAATAAGACTAGTACATAGTTATAATATTAAAGTTGTATTTTTTCTTTCTCTTTAGACACTGTTTGCTGACGTGAAAAGTGTAAAAAGTACAACTTTAATATTATAATTATGTATTACTCTTAATACATCGTTACAAATTGTTAAAACGAAAAAAAATTACATCATGTAAAAGGACAAATTTTTAACCCATTCAAAAAATAAACAAAGACTTTGTCATGATGTGCTTATTTAACAGGTTGACACTACATGATACAAATAACTCACAACACAAATAGACATAACCTCAAAGTTTATCACTTATTATACAAATTAATACGACATGACACAAATAAATAGCCTATAAACCTCAAAATGAGTTAGTATGTGAATCGAAACGACATAATAAGATACAAATAACCTCCAAAATATTACTTTCACCAATGTCGTGTTGACACAACACTATATGTTACTTATGGACATAACCTCAAAGTATGTCACTTACAGCTGAATTATGGGATATCCTCAAAGGTTTAGAGCTGGCTTGGGAAGGCGGATGGAGAAAAGTAGTTCTTGAAAATGATTATGCAGCTGCTATCACTTTGCTCATCAAAGTTGGTGATGCATCTCGTGAGTCTCATCTTATGACTGTTAAGGAGGTGGTCGGTGAAACTGGAGCACGCATATAAGAAAGGCAATATTTGTGCAGATTGGATCTCTAATTTTCCTCTTGATTTTTTGCTCAGGGAAACTATTTCCGTTTCCAAACTCCCTCTTAGGGAATTACATGGTTATTTTTTTCGTCTGATTTTGGCTTTGTTTATAGAGCTAGACAAATACTACTTTAGTTTCTTGTTTTGTTGGGTTTTTGCCCTTTACTTTATCAAAAGAATATATATATATATATATATATATATATAGCGAGAGGTATCAGTCAATTGGTTAAATAGAGACATATTAATATATAACTTAAGAAACGAAATAAAGTGGTAAAAAAGAAATATTAGGGACAAAATAGTCAATCAATCATTAATTTATTAATGTAAGGCATATTTTCAATAAGCCATTAATCGGCTTATTCGTGAAATGCAATCTTGGTTATCTATCTCTAGTCTAGAGCTGCGGAGATTTATCGAAACGTGAATTTTGATTTGTGTTATTATATATTTGAGCTTATGATAAATCTTATTCGGGTAACATTTCAACCATTCGAAAGATAATTTAAAATTATAAATATTTATATTTTATAACATTTATGAACTGAAAATCATAGTAAAAAGCTCGATTGCAATTAGAGTTGTGCATGGGTCAGGTCGGGTTGAATTTTTGTACTAACCCGACTCAACTTGATTTTATAGGTCAGGTATTTTGACCCGACCTGGTTTAATTTGATCCAATTCAGATTTAATCTAGTTTGAATTTTTTTGAACTGGTTCAGAACTGAATCAGATCTGACCTGACTTGGTTTCTGAAGTGGGTCTAATTTAATTTCAAAATCGGGTCAAATTTGACCTGATCCGCTTTTAAATTGATTTCAAAACTTGTTTTTTATTTGATGTTTTTTTAATAGTTATTTATTTAATTTTTAAACTCATGTAATTTAACTCTTTATTTGTTTAAAATATATAAATTATATAATAAATTTACATATTTTCAATTAGTACAGTTAATGTTATGAAATTAATATGTTGTTCTATGTGCAGAGGTATTGAGGCTAAGCAGCCCAACTCTGTCATTCGTAAGTGTGTTATAGGGTTCAACTCATCAAGAATGGGAAGAAGATTGCTGCATTTGTACCGAATGATGGTTGCTTAAACTACATAGAAGAGAATGTGAGTACTCTTGTTAATAATTTTTGTTAGTTTGGTTGATCTTTATAATGTAACATTTGCAATTCTCGTGAGTTTTTAATATCTCAATAAGTAGTAATATTTCGCTTCAATCCAGTGTTTTAAAACTCCGCTCCACCCTCGAGTTGACCCGGGTCAACCTGACCCTTCTCCTTTGAGGGTTGAAGCACAAGTTGGACTCTATATACATATCGACCCCTCTGACCCCCAAAACCCGGTCGAGTTTCAGTGACTTCCGGACTGCATGTTTTTTTTTTTTTTAAATAATTCCATGAAACAACATTGTTTTATTAAAAAAAATAAAATAAAAATGCTTGCAAACCTAAATCTAATCGTTCTCTTCTCTCCTAGTGACCTAGACGTTTTCAATCTTCACTTCGCTGCCGTGAATCTTTTAGAAAAGATAAAAAATTTACCCATTCAAATGAAATCTTTTCAGTCGTCGATGGAAAACAAAACTCTTTTTTACTTTCTTTAAATTTTTCTTTGTCAGAGACCTTCTCAAAAGAGGCAGAACCGGATCAGCGTAGTGATCACATTAGAACGAGTTTTGTACTTTGGTATCTTGATACTTTAATTAGGTTGTATAATATTGACTTGTGGTTGTAATTGGTGAATTATGTTAAGTATATTTTGAATCTTTGATAATCGATGATTTGTTTTTTAATATTTTCATATAGGATATATATATTTATATTTTTTTAATATATAAAATCGGGTTAGCATAGTAATCCCGTGACCCCCCAGTTGAACCCGTGATCTCATGATCCTCTAACCTTGGTCGAGTTAATGGCCGGACCGAATTTTTAAACACCGCTTCTATCGACTGTGTAACATGGGGTCGGGTGTGAGTGTCTGACCAATGGTTGTAGGACGAAGTCTTGATAGCTGGATTTGGACGAAAACATTATGCAGTGGGTGATATTCCCTTTTTCGTTTGTTTTTTTGTTTTCTTACAGTGAGTTAAGTTTTGGGTCCATGGATCAATTATTAAAATAAGTCAAGTCTAAAACTGATCTAAATAAAAATAAATCAATATTTAAATCAGTTCAAAAAATTAAGTATTTATGAGTCACGTCAATATCAGGTCAAAGCAGGCAAGTAAACCAATTTTTTTTGCACACCCATAATTGCAATAAGCTGTAAGCATTCGCTTGAATACCAGCATGAATATCCTCATTGGTTTATCCTCTTAACGAGTTAATAAATAGTACGAACAGAGGAGCTTAGCCCCTAGATTTTACACATTGTATCAACAATAGGACAACGAATTACACTTTTTCTGATAAAAGGAAAAATACATAACACTTCCACACTGATATCACATGCCACTCTTATCATTAAAGGAAACAATCAAATTGTGATTGGTTAATATGTTTTACACCGATTAATATTGGATAAGTTTGTAGCTAAGAGCATATGTTATGTAATTAATCAAACAAATAACATAGGTAAATTAACCATAAATGAGGTAGCATGATACAATGATTTTCTAAAACAAATGTCATAGATAGACATTATTATTATTATTAAAATGATGTAGTAGGACAAACAAAATATCTATGATATACAATTTGTCCATAGGAGACTTAAGTAGTCTTGCAACTGGGTAGGGGAGAACCGCACAAGCACTTATTATGAACATACGAATACACATCAAATCTTTGCAAGTTTCCACCTTGTGGAATCTCACCACACAGGCTATTATAGCTCACATTCAACTTATGCAGAAACTTTAACGCCGTTAGACCCTGTGGTAGCATCCCATATATGCGATTGTTCCTCACATCCAACGTATTCAAATTCTTCGACAACCCCACTTTTCCCAAATCAAAAGCCAATTTGTTCTTCGCAACTATTATCTTCTGTGTATTTTTCCCTGACCCAAACAACACCGACGCGTCACCCTCCAGCATGTTCCTCGACAAGTCAACAAACGCCAGGTTCAGCTTTTTCAGCGACGCCGGAATCTTCCCGGTGAGCATGTTCCGGGAGAGCGTCAGCGACGTGAAGAGGCTCGACAGCGACCCGAACGACTCCGGGATGGAGCCGGTGAGCCGGTTGCCGTCGAGGGTGATTCCGACGAGGTTGGGGAGAGTGGAGAGCGAGGCGGGGATTTTGCCGGAGAGGTGGTTGTAGGAGAAGTCGATGGTTACGAGGGTCTTGATTTGGGATATGGCGGAAGGTATCACGCCGGAGACGTTGGTTTTGCTGACGGTGAGGTAACGGAGTTTGTCGAGTTTAACGATTGCCGTCGGGATAGGACCGACGAGGTTGGGGATTGTGTAGATGAAGAGGAAGTTGAGGTAAGGGAGGTTTACTATGGAGAGAGGAATAGGGTAAGGTTTGGTGAGGGAGAGTTGGGAGAGGGAGAGGTCGTTGACACGGTAGGTTTTGTTGTCTGTGTCGCAGCCCACACCTTGCCACGTGGGGTCGCAGCAATCTGTGGTTGCGTTCCATGAGGATAGAGATGTTGGGTTGCCTAGCTCTTCCTTTATTTGGAGAAGGGCTTTCTTGTCCTCTGGGTTGCATTTTTCAGAGACTACTGCAATAGTGAAGAGACATGTTGTTGTTAGGAATAGGATGATGGGTAAGCGAAACATGGTTGCAATCATGGATATTTGATTGTGATTTTTGGGGTGAGGAAAAGTGATATCAAGTGTTGGTTTATATAGGCAGGGGAGTTCCAGAACAACTAGCTACTTTAACTAGTGATTTTGAATTTGACTTCGGCTGGAATCATATTAGTATTATAATATAGGTAAAAGTGTTTATCATTTTTAAAGGACGTAAAATTGTGTCATTTTATAAGTGAGAAAAAGAGATAGATAAAGAAGGAAAAACAATCGACAAAAATATATAAATATATGGATTTCATCTCTTTGTGAGAGTGAAAGTAAGTAAATTGTGTCATTTAAATAGACAAACACTTTTCTCTATAGTATATGAAATCATAGATAATATTGAAGAAAGAAGAAGGGGAATACAATATTTCAGTTCAGTATTATTATTTTTATATAGATAATCTAGAAATGTTCCCATATAATTTTTTTAGTTACTTTGTTCTTAGAATATGGCCCTTATGGGACGTATAATTTTTTATATAGGTAGGTGGTTTCTAGTGAAATTGCTGGGTAAGTGAGAGTGGAATACCATTAATGCCATGTATAGAGGTGTGTGTAAATTGATGTCAAAAACACTGATCGCAAATACCACCTCGGATAAAGAAGTGAAAAAATTGGCGCTACTTTTATTACGGAAATGCCCCTCGTCCAAATGTTTTCTCCTTATGCAGTTTCAAGCCATCATAACAAAATTTTGCAAGATGTTATATTGGAACTCTTTGAGCTGGGGCTACTCTGCACATTACACAATCCTTCAACAAGACCAAGCATTTGGATGTAGTCCAAAAAATGGGGATGTTGAAGGACTACCTCACTGATTCAACCTTTCTTCTTATTGAAGATGATTCCAAGAGTAATTCTTTCTGCAGTGAAGATAATTTAGTTGAAAAGTAAATAGTTAATTAGAAAAGTTCAAGATTTTTTTTATCTTTTTTGGTTGAGTATGCATTGAAATGATTGTGTTCTAATGAGAGTGAAACATGCGGGTGAACATTTTCAATACTGCTTCTGTGTACGTATTTGGCTCCTGAATATGCTCAAAGCGGTCAAATGACTGAAACAAGACACAAAGACTCAAACAAGACAAAGACGGACATAGGACATAGAGAGAGAGGTTCACAAAGACTCAACGATAGACTAGGGTTAATTTTTGATTTTAGATACAAAAGTTAAAAGGGTTATTTTCGTAATTTACACCCATTATCCTATTAATATTTTATCTTCAACCAAACATAAACTCAGGAAATTTAACTCAATTTTTTCGGTAATATTTTGGTCTTCCAAACAACTTTTTTTTAACTTTCCTACCAAACTCATTTTCTCATCATATTCTTAATAATTATATTTTCCTAATAAAAAAAATTTATCCTCTATCAAACGTCCCCTTAAATTTAACTTCTGGTTGGAATAAAAGATGCATTGAACAAGTGTCATCAAAAAAATGTGAGACTAATCATCTTTTGTGGAAAATGTGATTTTAATAAATTTCAAAAATTTACTTTGATCAAAATTTAAATTCCTAAATAAAACAAATCCTTAGACATTTAATTGTCAACTGAGTTATCCTCGCGTTGTTAGTTCAACATGTTTATGTGGAAAGGATTGGAGTATAGCATCATGCCATGTCTCCATCATTTTATGCCATGTCTCCATCATTTAGTCTTCAAGGACAGCTCATTGTTGTTGGTATAATCTTATTATTAGAGTCAACTTCTTTAATGTCAATATTCATGAAGGTGATGCTTGTACGTCCCTCCAATGGATTATGGATAGGTTCAAATTTAGCATTACATGGATTACTTCAATTTTAAATGTTGAAAAAATCATAATAGGACATCAAAACTGGACTTAACAGTCATATATACTCTTGATAAAAAGTTTTCTTGAAGTAAAATTGTTTAAAATAAATAAAGATTACGCTATATTTCAAATTAAATAAATATTAAATACCATCTTACTTCCTTCTTTAAAAGTGTTATATTAATATTGTTATTGTATTATATTATGATTTACAGTTTTTCATCTGTGCTTATTTGAATCAAAATTATGTCAAATTAACATCCCGCCCCCCGCCATTATAATATCATGATTGCCGCTACCCTAAAAAAAGCGAAGTTTGAGTCAGATTTTCAACTGATGACCATTTCCTTCTTCTCATTTATTTTGATGTTTTCTGCATATCAATAAAGACGTGTCATTCAGCTGGGGTTTTATAAAAGTCATCCGGTAGAAAAAGTGATTATGTTATATTATAGAGATTCGTTTTTTGTGTTTTAATTTTTTTTGCGTCAAAAAATGAGGACTTCATAAAATATTGTGTGTGTAGAAAAAATAATTATATTATGTTGCATGATAAATATAAATCCCATTATATATATATATATATGTGCAATTCTTTTTTTTCTAAGTTGTATACTTGTATTTAAAAATATTATTATGACCAACGGTGAATACTATAATAATGATAAGTAAAACAATGTTTTCTAAACTATAACTTTATAATAATAGGGTTTGACACTCTGTCATTTTAAAGGAGGTAAAGTTATATTATTTTAAGAGAGAGAAAGAGATAGATAAAGGAGGAGAGAGAATTGATAAAAAAAAAGGTGTAGTCCCACTTCTTTAGGAGAGTTAAAGAATATAAATTGTGTCATCTAAAAGGATAAATATTTTTCCCATAATAATATTATTAAACTTGGAATCATTGTTCTACTTGATTTTTAAATGTTTTTGGTTCCTTGTCGGTTCTTCTACAGTCTACATTTGGAGCGAATATGTACTAGTCCAGGCACACATATGGGAAAGAGTGAGGGTGACAGAGAAATAGAGGAAAGAAAAATAAATCTTTGGTACTACTGTTGTATGTAGATTCAGTGTATTTCATTACATATCAGAGGAGAGAGAAAAAATATGACAGAAAAAATAGAATTTTAGCTAACATGTAATATTTTCATTGATGAGATGTACTGAATCTTTAGTACAGCAGTAAGCAGTAGTACCAAAGATTTATTCAGGAAAGAAGAGATGGAGGGAAAAAAAAAAAAAAAAAGGAGGGACTATGAAATATTTTTTCCTACATTTGTGGCAGCTTTTTTTTATCAAATCAAATTATTTTACAAGCAGCAATGAACTATAATGGCAGTTGTACGTCAGTCTACAATAATGACAATTATTCAATGAATTATAATCTATAACAAATATATTTCAGTATATGTATTGTATTTTTATTCATAAAAATCAATTTTATTCTAAAAAATATATATGCTAGCATCATCGTGGCTGGAAAATATATATATATATATATATATATATATATATATATATATATTGGTATGATGCTGGAAAAATTGTAACAGCTCTTTTAGTATTGTTTACTCGTATATTACTTGTTATAAATAGAAAAACTAATAACTTAATTACCTAATATCATTTATCCTATTGTTTTATAATTATTGTCATTTGATCCCATTTTTTACTACTTTAGAAAAGGAATGTCTAGGAAAAATATGGTCAATTTCTTTTCTTTTTTTTTAGATTATTTTTCCTATAATCTCTTAGATTTTTTATAGATTAATTTAAAATTTAAGACAGATATAAAATTAAGATTTTAAATTCTTTCCAAAAATAATATCAAAGAAGATCAAATCTGCTGATCCAATCACTCAATTTCGTAGGAGTTCCATTTTTTCAACAATGTGGGCGGTTGTGGCCTTGTGGGTGCACACGGTTTTATGTCCCATAAAACTTCAATTATTCGTATTGTTCTGTCAAGGGACAGAATAGCACTTTGCCTTAATCAAATAAAACAAGTTATTTGCAAGTTCTTTTAATTTATAAAATATAATTAACAAACTTATTGACATTTTTAATTTATTGAAAAGTTAAGATTTCAATAAATTATCTTTGTCTAAAATAATGAAATTAAGATTTTTAATTTTATTCAAAACTTATTGAAAATTACAAACTTTCTCGTTATAGACATGAAATTGTTTGCAAGTTATTTGCGGAATAGTCCCTGGGTTACTTTTTCTTCCGAATCTTCTGCATTCATTTCCAGAAGAAAAAATTATAAAATATAATTAACATTATGGACTTTATTTTTTACATATTATATTTACGAATCTTTTATATTCATTTTCGAAACAACTCATCGATAGATATAGTACTGCGTATTATTAACTCCTGGTTGTAGTTGAGTCAAACATTATCCGAATATCCGTCACCAATGTGAAAGCAACTTATATGATTAGATGATGATTTCTTTCTTATCATAACTTTCTTTCTTTCATTGTTTCTGTTTTGTTTCGTTTTAGCTATATGGATAAGGAGGGCGATTCTCTGGTATTAAAATTTTACGTAACTTAAATATGTAAAAATTTTGAATCTATTTTTTTTTCACATATATTAAATAAATAAGGTCCAATTATCATTAATAAAGAAAAAAATAGACATAAAAATTTTATATGATCAAATTAAATGAAATTTTAGTATAAAAGAATCTACTCTCGTGTACAACAGCTAGCTTTGTGCCTTTAATTTGTCCATTAGCTGTAGATTACAAATTGTATTTTTTGGCGCATTTGGAATAGCTTTTGAGAGACAAGTTAGAAGACTGATTCTACGGGCCATGAGATGAAATCTCTTTAGCTTGAAAAACCCAATTTTGACTTTGATGAATCTCAAAATTCAAAAGCTTCTCCGGTTTTTTTTGAATTCTGTGAACTTCATTGTTGATAATTGATATTGTCCCAGTATTAGAATACATATCATATATATAGTAGTCTATAATGGGTGCGCTATCCACAACTCCAGCAAACGGAAACAAAGTAGAAAAATGTTATACGTAACACCACATAATTTAATATTATATTTGCTAAACTACTATCAACTAGTTAAGATCTCAAATAAAATTTTATAATACTGAAACAAATTAATAATTTAAATACAACATCATACCAAGTTATTCATTTCCTAAAAAAAATTACTATTTGCTT